CAGAACGCCCACACCAGTTGCAGCCGTAAAAAGATGCATGAATCCCTATAACTTATATAAGTGGCATGAAAAGTAGCCTAGAACCTTCCACCATCATGTTTAAGTCCAATCTTTGGACTCCAACGCTCAGGTCCAGGTGCTGTTTGTTTTACGATCATAATTGGACCATTTGCCTTCAAATTAGCTCGTTGAGCTCATTGATTCAAATCCTTCCTGGCCCAAAGTTTGATGTTCAACTTTTACTTGTGATGAGTTGAATCATGTTGAAACATGTTGAAACCACCAATCAGCTTGTGATGAATTGAAACCAGCTCTTCATGACTTGAGAAATCAATGATTATCCACCAATTCCCAGGGTCGACGCTCGACTCTTCATCGCTCCATCGCTCAAGTGGAACCATGATGAATATAGGGTCCTTTCCACCGCCGAAAACATGGGTCAGACATAGAAAGGATCACAGAGGACCCACATGAAAACCCCAGAGGATCACATGGTCGTATCGCAACCCCAACCACGGGGTTTTTCGAACTTCTCATCGCCCAACTTCTTCAGATCAGTGGTGTGGTCGACTTGGAGAATCCCTTGGAAGAGGGCCGCTACTATTTGGGCTCCTTGGAAGTCAGACCGTGAAGTCAGACTGCTCAGAAACAGGTGGACCACGTATGACTACGCGTTTGATATGTTCTTGTTCCCCAGAGAACTTCAAGCGTTTTGGGGGTTCTGGTGCTCAATACTGTACTTCTCTGGATCGGTGTGGCTCTGGATCGGTGTTTCGTATTGCCCGTGCTGGTGCTGCTGCTGGATCAGCATTTTGTGTGGGCGTGCTGGTGCCCGCTGCCGGTGCTGGAGTGTTTCCCTTTGTGGTGAATGGTGTCATGCCAGGGATGACATCATGTCAGGCCAGGGATGACATCATGCCATGCCCGGGACGATATCCTTTCATATTGAGCCTGACAAATCTCGTGGATGACATGGTGTCATGCCAGGGATGACATCATGGAACAATGCCCGCACCGCTCATTGACACCGCAAGCTATTAGACATTGGGATTCTTCCCTCAGGCACTACGAACTTTTTCCCTATACCGCTATCTGGGGTCTATGCCGGTGTGTTTGTTCCGCAAGTTTTTGGGGGCTGTGTATGGGGCTTCACACCACCTGGTAAGGAGAAGTGACTCAACCATAATTCAACAACAGCTGGAGGATGGGTGACGAAGCTGACATCTTCTAGGTCACACTCCCTCGAACCATGGTCACATGGGAATATGGCTCCAAAGAGTTGACTCGGATGACCATGAGACCAAACAGGTGGTGTTCCATGTAGCCATGATGATGCCGATTCCAGGGAGGGTACATGTTGCTCATCCATACATGAATCTTCTGAAAACGTGACGTGTGTGTGTCACCCTTGGAGTCATAGGGATGCTTTTGCATTTGCTTTTGTTTTACAGCAGGGGGTGCAAGCAGCCCATCCAGTCTTGCACCAACGAAGACAGTGGATGTGTGCTGGTGATATCGATTTGGGACGCCAAATCGACGTACTTGCCGTGAGAGAAACCTACGTAGAGCTCAAGCTGTCTACTTCGTTGTTTCCTTCACTAAAGGGCTACTGCAGCGGCGATGAATTTGGCTTTTCTGCACGTACGTCGTCACCCTGTCGTCCGCTCGATCGTTGATTAATTTTGGGACCTCCGCGGGATGGACCTCCTCTTCTTCTTTAGATTTCCCTACCTGTACTCTTAGGAAATGGAACCCTAGGCCGGCGTGTGGCACCGCTATCAAGTCCGTACGCATATCCATGAGTGTGTTTGGCCTCGTGCCAACCCGGGATGAGCCCGCAGAGTGCCTCCCGTGGACCCGTCGAACGGGTGTATGTCCATGTTCCCCGGCTCTGGGAACGCAGATGTCCACAGCGGACAGCAGGTGGCCTAGGCCGTACGTCCGATGATTTTTGTCCCATCTTTGGAATTCCAAGTTGGCTCATGCCTTTACGTGACCGCAGCGGTCAAAGCAGCCAGCCATTTCGGCAAGGCACAAGGTGACCAGAGCGGTCAAAGCCAGTTTTAGGTTCATTGGAACCTGTCGAGCCCTTGGGTGCACATACAGCGTATACATTCAAACGAGGCAGGTTTTCCTAGGTCGTTTTAATGAGGCTCGGCTTCATCGGTTCTCGTCCCCTCCATTTGGTTCCCCCTTTCATCCCTTCCCTTCACACACTCTTGTTTCCTCTTTTCTTTCATGTCCTCCTAGTGTGTACGTGCACTTCTACACACATTTAAACACAGGTTTCAGGTCGCCCAGGTCTTTACAATGAGGTGGGCTTCATCGGTTGTCCCTGTGCACTTGGTTCCCCTTTCATTTCAACCACACGCACCTTTGTCCCGTCTCGTCCTCTTGTCATGTCTTCATTTTCTTGTCTCTTGTGCGCGCACACGTGCACATCGGCCCTCACCTTAGCTTCTCGCCTCCCCTCGGGGAGGCGTGTGTGTGTCACCCTTGGAGTCATAGGGATGCTTTTGCATTTGCTTTTGTTTTACAGCAGGGGGTGCAAGCAGCCTATCCAGTCTTGCACCAACGAAGACACTGGATGTGTGCTGGTGATATCGATTTGGGACGCCAAATCGACGTACCTGCCGTGAGAGAAACCTACGTAGAGCTCAAGCTGTCTACTTCGTTGTTTCCTTCACTAAAGGGCTACTGCAGCGGCGATGAATTTGGCTTTTCTGCACGTACGTCGTCACCCTGTCGTCCGCTCGATCGTTGATTACCTTTGGGACCTCCGCGGGATGGACCTCCTCTTCTTCTTTAGATTTCCCTACCTGTACTCTTAGGAAATGGAACCCTAGGCCGGCGTGTGGCACCGCTATCAAGTCCGTACGCATATCCATGAGTGTGTGTATGTCAGCTCAGAGGTGCCCAGGCCTTCGGGTCGAAGTCTCTGAGACCGCTCAAGGCTTACGGCTTAGGCACGTTTAATCGTCTCTTATGCTTTTGATCCCATCAGGTCGGGAGGTAGGGCGCCCAATCGAACAGATTCGGTGAGGATGGTCGACCTGGCTTTCAGTCGACGGGTGTCGAGTCAGATCTGAAGCGGATGGCTTGAAAAGGGGAAAGGATCGACGTCGGGGGAAACATGTCTTGAAAAGAGGCCCAGACTGAGACTGGGACTGCCATGATTGGGAGTAGAAAAAACTATGATGTTCCGCTTCAGATGCAGTTCCAGGGGATTTGAGAACACGCTGTAAGTAGTCATGAAACATGATGAAACACACTATAGTATATACAGGTGGAACATATGTAAAACAAACAAACCCTGTATTGTTGGCAGAACTCTCTTCCAAGTGAGATACGACCTCCAGAAGTACCTCCAGTGTCAACAGATCGTTGCAGCAAGGAGGTGTCCTGTGTCTTTGGCCGTCCGCAAAGGTCTTTGATTGGGGCGGCGCCATGCATGAGAGATGTCCTCCACCAATATACAGGCTCATTATTTTATAGACCTCCAAATAGATGAATTGGAAGTAAAACATGGTGTATATAAACGGAAACACCTTCCAACATGTATTGGAAGGTCTAATATTGGACACATGGTATTTTCTATGGACCTTGTCAAAAGAAAAAACACGTCCAACAGCCAACATGTATTGAAAGTCGTTGCCCGGTCCACACGTCTGGCCATGCACCGGTCATTTTGGGGAAGTACGTGGAGCGCCAAGCCTGCACCGCATGGGCCCTTTTGGGAAGAACAGGCAGTTTCTGTCGGTTCACCTGTATTTGCGAAGGCAACTGCCGTTTTCATCCTTCCGAACTGCATTTGCCCTTTTCGTCCCGTCCAAGTATAGATAGCCTAGCAGAACGTCTCACTCGGATCTTCCAGAAATGAGCTGAAGTTATTCAATCCACGCGACCCTTTTTGGTATTTATATATATATAGTTGTCAGTTGGAAAGGCGGCCATCCAAAACTGAGGATGGTGGTCTGGCGCATATCTCTTTCCAGTCACCTTGTCACTTGGATTCAGAATGGTCCCAAAATGCGCGTGCGAACGTTTTCGTACGGCGGAAGGTGTCCGCTTTTTGCATGACATTCGGTGGTTCAGTCCACACCCAGACCCACCCCACCAGTGACTAGATGCCTCATTTTGACCCAGATGAACTCTGACGCGAAGGAGAAAAAGGTCATGAGCAATGTGCAGCTCGTGGGGCAAGTCCCTCCACATCGGCATTTCACTTGAGGGTCAACAGCACATGCAATTTGGCACATATTGCCAGAAGAGGCCTGGGCTTGGTTGCAGGATCTAAGAATCTGTGCTAAGAAAAAAGAACAGCAAAGTATCTATGGAAAAGTTAGAGAAGGATTTGCTTCACACGGGCGAGGACTTTGTACATCCACAGTTTGCGTCAGTTTGCCATATTCTGAGAGATGGAATGAGGCACGTGACTATCGGAGCTCACAGCACATGCATTTTGTTGTTCTGAGCTGTATGCATGGATGTTTGTTTGTTTGTTTGAGAAATATTAGGTATTTGTACGGAGGAAGATTTTATATTCCATGTGTATATGCTCCAGAAAAGAGCAACGTTGTTTTTTGTATTGTTTATGTTCTTCTCATGAGTGATGCGATGGTTCTGAGGGATGTACTCCTTCCTCGGTGGACCATGGCCCCAGGCCATGCCAGTCAGCTGGACCATAGCACTGGCCAGGAGTGCAGAAGTCCCAGAGACTTCCATCACTTGAGACGCTCACAGCAGTGATGGAAGTCGTTGTCGGCACCTCAAGATGAGCCAGACGTGCCACGGGAAGCAGCTCCAGCAAGTGCAACCGGAAGGAAGCTAGTAAGGAAGCTGTGGGGTCAAATGACTCACCCACCAGTGTGAAGAAGTCAAAGCCACCAACTCGTGTGGACTTGGATTAGCACTTGCGGAACTTCACGCAGGGGCCTTGGACAGAAGCAGCTCCCAAATACCTCAAGATGGCCAAGGCGGTGAGCAATGAGTGGAAGAACAGAAGAAGCGATGAATGCCATACACGCAAATACATCATCATCGTCATCATATATATATATATATAATATATATATATATCAGAATACCAACCCAAACGATCCAAACGGTGGCGTAAAATATGACCTACATGAAGCCACCAAAAGCCACCAAATATGCTCCACCATGGATCGTTGGGGTAAAATTGAAAGCTCCACCACAGAGGCTTTGGGGGGCAGAGATTTGGAGCAGCGAATCGCAGCTAAGGCAGACGTCGCTTGGATTGCAGTTTGCCGTTCTGCCGTTCTTTCTTTCTTTCATACCGATCCTTCCGGTTCGCTTTGGATGGCTTTGACGTGAGGATTGGAAGGGCCCGCTGCTTCTTTCGCAGCCCCGCAGCCGACCGGTGTTCTGAGGATCGAGTTCTCCGAAGAGAAGCCCGAAGATGGTGTCCAACATCTCTCCGTGCTGCGCCACCTGGCGTTCTTGAACGGGACTTCGGGCGTAGCCGGCGTAGCCACGAGGGTCGAGCGGAACTGGTTTGTCCCAGCGAACTGGAGGCATCCAAATGGGACGAGTCGCATCGGGCCCAGTGCATCTCCGCTTAAGCGTTGAGGGAATGGGTCCATCAAGGTCTCATCACCCTGAAAGGACTCAGAATGTCAGATCGACTTTCTTTAGCTATGGATTTGATTACTTAGAACTTAGAGCCCTTGATGGAAAATCTTGATTCATAAAACTCCCACTTGGATTCTAAAAGAACTCTTTGTATGGTGCCTTTGGTAATTATTGTATATATAATTCTAGCTAATTATAGCTAATTAATGTACCTTTGAGCATGTTTGAACCATGAAACCCCATTTGTGGGCACCGTCTCTTCGCGGTCTCTTCGGACATGGAAAGGCGGTCGCGACAAAGATGGAAAGAGAATCTACTTGGACGTCTCAGCTGCTGGGCACCATTCGCCCCGGCGGAACAGCGCTCAGTTTTTCGCCTTTTTTCGTGTTCTCCAGCCGTTGGTGTGGGAAAGACTGGCTGCCGACTCCCAAGAAACTGAATTTTTCACAAAGGTTTGCCATGATTTCAGTATTGATTTTTGGAACATTGCAATTTCAGAGGGTCTGGATGGATTGGAGCATCATTGGTGGGACTGCTTTCTTCTCTGCCAATCATCGGTGATTGCAGACCTGTTTTATACCTGTTTATACCTGTCCCAGACACTCCATGTATGGCATATTTACATACATTGACCCCTGAAACCACCCCAATGTAGGTAAATATGCCATACATGGAGTGCCTGGGTGTTTTTACAGAAATCGGATGGATTCTGTCCATCTCCCCAACCGATTGCAAGTAGCTTCCAGGACCCGGACCAGCAGCGAAACACAAATGTGGCACCCACTGACCGATTGGGGACATCGGTGGTGGAAGCTGCGGTGATGACTGGTGATGACCGGTGATGGTGAGAAGCGTTTGTTTCTCTTCGATGTTTTTCGATGGGAAAACAGAACAAGAAAGTCCGCCACAAAAAATGCGGGTTGATTTTTGTGGTGGTGCTTTTTTTTGGGCGGCCCCATTGCACGTAAATCTGCGCGCGCAATAACAGAATCAGGTTACATGCGCATTTTAACCACACGTATGGCATGGTTTCATGCAACCCACCCCATATGGCAAGTCGACAGACATCACAAGATTGTCATCGACATCAAAACATTGACAACATAATGTCATCAATGTCACAACATTGTCATTGACATCACAACATTGTCCTCTACTTCACAACATTGTCATCGACATCATAACATAGACCATAGACCAGTTTGTGTGCCACTCTTGTGAACGACAGTCCAGGTCTGCTCACTGTGATCGAAGCCTTAGTGTTGTGTACAGACAGTGGACAGCGCCAACAAACTTGGACACCGTCTTGGACGGACAAAGAATTGCTGTTGAGCTGAAATTTAAGGGTGCAGATGTTTGGGTGTTCCTGGTTCTCAAGAGATAGGTTTTGTTTCAAGATTTGGAGTGACTTGTAGGAAAGGAGAAATCAGTGTTTAAGCATTGACAGCCTTGAGAGTGAAGTGCCTTCCAGGGCCCATGGACAACTAACGAGACACCCGGAACTGATACCGTTGATGTTTGTTTTGGGGGGGGGCTGGACCTGAACCAAAAGTGGTGGTGTTTGCAGAGACTTGGAATGCCAAATGGAACGCAAGTTAACAACATGTATATTAGTTGTCAGTGTGACTCCCTTTTCACAGTGATGCAAGGTCGCCACCGGGTTCTAATCAAGTGGTCCCACAACATGCCAGGTGGGTCCCCTGAGTCTTTGTTTTCACCAACTCGTCTTGGGGTCTCTTCTTCAGCTCCAGCAGAAGGTCTTCGTGGTTCAATGGCCACCTCCTTGGCCCTTCCCTATTTGGAGGGGTGCCTTCGACATCACCTGTGATGTCGATGGAACCCCAGGGGCGAACTCCCTGGACCCTCCAAAAAGGCCTCCGAAATGGTGGGCTTTTGCAGACTTTGCAGGGTCGGCTGCTACCTGGACCTGACGGACCGTTCGTACCGAAAATGGCCACGTCTGACCTGACAGGTACGACTGGGGCCCCATTGTCCAAGGTACGAACGTCGACTCCAGGTAGTCAGACAAACGGGTCGACATCCCCCTATCAGTTTTCACTCGCCGAGTCTCCCAGCGAGTTGACCAGAGAGGCCTCGAGAGTCGCCCAGGCACTTCAGGATCGGAGCATTTCGGGTAACAAAAACCAACGCCGTCGAAAACTGACTGATGCCCACCTGGTGGGGATTTGCCGTCTCTTTGACGTTGCTCGCTTTCGGACTCGGACCCCCCCCCAAAGTGAACTGGCCCAGTTTGGAAGCCTTTTGGAAACATGGAAACGGTTCCTCGTTCTCCAACCGAAGTGCTTCCGACCGAGCGAGCGTTCGACGTGGACGTGGCCGTGGACAAAAGACGTGGCGCCTGCCTTGTGCTCCCGGTGCCTGTGCGGAACGCCGGTGCCAAGGTTCAGTACCGCTTGTCCAAAGACAAGGCCGTGGTCGTTTTGAACCGCTGGTGAAACGGTTGGGGAATAAGCGGGAGGTGGTGACGAGGTGAATCATGATTTGGTTGGAATTCACGACGAAATATCACTAAATGGTTCAAACAAACTACATTTTAAGCTGGTATAGCTTGGGTCTGTCCCCATTATCTGTAACAGTCTGTAAATTTTTCATTCCTTTCTTAGGAATATAGTTTGGAAAGTCCTTGACTGGCCATCATCATCCACTGTTGCTGGTAATAGGATAGACCCAAGGTATAGCCCATAAGTGGAGATTTGCTGGTCTGGCCAAAACCTTCTTTTCGGGAGACTGGTTGCCCTGTCGGGAGACTGGTTGCCCTGCTTTAAAAGAGGAACAGGTGGAAACATAGAACAGGACCCTTTTTTCCAGGGCAACTGAGGGAGTCAGCCTCATAGTACATGGATATACATGGATCACTTGGTTCTGCAATCACATATTCTGTGGAGTTGTGCCATGCAGTGAAGATTTGCAGATAGACTGGACTGGTACCTCCAGCGATTCCAAGGCCGAGATCTTAGCATGTCGCTGCTTGAGCCTCTAGCTGGGGGTTCAAAAACAACCGGTGCTTTTGTTGTTTGAAGCCCTGAAGGTGGGTCAGATCTACAAAGAGAAGCTCAGCTGCAGTTGTGCCAACGAAGGTCACCTATCACATCCATTGGCTCCGCTTTGCAGCTGGGAAATTCACAAGATCAGATGTCCCAGAATGTCCTTGACATCACAAGAACAACTTCTACCCAGTGGCTACTAGAATGACTGGACCTCCTTCCCAAACTTCCCTTCGCCGTTTTTTTTTGTGCGCCGTTTGTGTGCTTTGTTCTTTTTAATCGCCGATGGTGTTTCTGTGCCCGACCGACCCAGGAAAAATGAATCACCTCCAATCCATTGAAGACAATGCAAGTATCAACAAGTGTACATATTCAAACTCCATGTCCAGGCCACCCTGGGACCCAGGCTGGGAACCGACCATTCCGCCGCACGGTCGACCGTGAACTCGACCCGTGAACTCTGGAGTTGAGTGAAGCTGAACCGGTTCGGGACCCAGGTGTTGGCGTACTTCAGCTCAGGATGTTGACTTTCTATGAGGACATCTACATCTCAGAGCTCCGGGATGCGCTGTCCAAGGCGTGGAAAAGCTCGCGTGTCGCAGCTCGCGTGTCGCCGGGGCCGGGGTACTCGGGGGCCATGGTCCTCGGGTGGTAGGGGCGCACGGGTCACGGGTGTCTCGGGTCACTGGTGTGTGTGGGGGATGGTCCGGTCGGATCACCCCACCAGTTGGGGTGGGGGCTGGGGAGAGTCTCACATAATACGTATACGAGTTGCATCTCAAGGCTTGAGGGGGTTACTACTTGCGTGGGGGCCTCACCGAACCCAACGACGAGCAACGCTACGGATCCACTGCCAAAGTGATGCCAAAGGTGATTGGAGACTGATTGATGTAGGCGCCAGGAGGGGTCTAACTACCTTCTGAGAAGGTATGTGGATTCCTACGGTTTTTTGTGTTATGTAACAAATGTTTGAGCCACAACCCCTTTTTGATCTTTTTGTTGCTCTTGCATTCCCTGAACCAATCATGGAAGTCGACGGCAAAAACCAATCATGAGCTGTGCTACAAGTCGGTGTTGTTCCATATGGATTTGAGTGACTCAGAGAACGAGAATCACTTCACCTGTCATGAAATCTTGGGAGGACACCCTCTTTGCAGTGTGCAACTCCCTCCAAAGCTTTTCCCAGTGGCTACGCATTGTCCAAATCCTTGACCTACTTCTCAGCTCCTTCTCGATGTCGGACTGAGATTGAGCAACTTCACAACTTCATGGATGACCCGGTCATTCTTCTACCTGCCTCCCGCACAGATGAGGAAATACATGGAAACATCTGGAAAACCCCTCCAATCGAACCACTGGTTGGTCTACGCAGTTCATGGTCTTCATGGTCTTCACCCGTGGGGTCGGTCGAAGTTCTGCGGGGTCCGTTCTGGGGGTCCGTTTCGAGACGCTGACCCTCCTGGGTACCCAGTATACCTAGCCTAGTGGATCCCAGGCAAACCACGTACTATAAGGAACCAGGGATCCACTGGGACTCCCAGCGACATCGTGGTTTGCCTGGTAGTATTTGGGAAGTATTTGGACCCTCCTGGAGCCAAGCTTACACATGTCGAACACATTACCGATAGGAGGGTGCCAGTGGATCCGGGATAGAATCCTTCACCGAGTTAGCCAAGAGATTGAGCATTCTTGGACAGACTTTGGCATAAGACTCTCAACTCAATTGTTGGGAAAGTTAGACTTTTTCACGTAGATAGCCTTGGTGCAAGAATGGTGGTTTGGGAGTTGGAGGGCTCTTAATGGTGCTTGGAGGGCTCTCGGGTCCTCGGCTTTCAGCATCTTCAATCGACCATAGAAGGCCTTCTCAGCAGATAGGCCTTCTCATTGACCTCGTCGCCCGGGCAGCTCAGCAGCCTCATCATCGAGTCCAGGCGTGCAACTACTTTGCCATCGCGGATGCATGGGAGAGCTACCTCAACGTCACAGATGTCATGAAATCCGCCTGTAGCTTGACGTCAAGTGTTTGACCGTGTCCAGAAATGATGGTTTGCAGAAGTAGAAACTGCTTCATCGAAAAGATGGAATTGCGGCTTCATGGGTCTTATTTCAGATTCAACAGATCCCGGCATCCTCACTGCGAGGTCACCACTTGCCACCTCATGATTGACCAGTTTCAATTTCAGCCAGAACTCGAACAAGTGCATCGCTACTAGGAACAGGCGCCTTACTAGTAACAAGAAGCTACTAGGAACAGGATGTCGGGTGGATCCGAACTCGCCGCAGCGAGTTCCACTCCACCCACTGCAGCGAGGTCCCGATATGGACGTAGCACGGTCCCGACGAACGGTGCGAGACTTGCTGCACCGAAGCATGCCGTACCATGCCGCACCATGCCGCACCGGCCACCGTCAACGGGCCTCACTGGTTTATTTTTCAGGTGTTTTTTCACTCCAAGCGGTTTCTTGATGAATTTAGTACATACCAGCACCCTCCAACAGGTCTCCTCTGGTGGCTTTTGGAGACTTAAAAGTCGCAGGTGGTGACCTGTTGGAGGGTCCTGGTACAGTACACTCAAACAAATTCATCAAACATTCCGAGTGCGATCCAACCGGAAGACCATTCCCAGACACCCGTCATGGACCCCTGGCCACCTGATCGGGCGTCAGGACGCTGTCCCGTGGCCGCTCGTGTCCGGGCGAAGCGCCGAGGCGATGTGGCGCTGGCGAAGTATCATGCCACCTGCTGGGGCCTTCAGCGGCTCGGAGCGATCGGGATCGCTTGACTTGACGATCGCGTGACATGTGCGCCAAGCAGGGGAGCCGTGGTCCCCAAACGGTGTCCAAGAGATTTAGAGTGGGGATCTATGTTTTTTTTGTAATTTGCGATATATATATATATATACCAGGACCCTCCAACAGGTCACCACCTGTGACTTTTAAGTCTCCAAAAGCCACCAGAGGAGACCTGTTGGAGGGTGCTGGTATATTATATACCTATAGACCCCAAACACTACTTATTTGTCATGTCTGGAGCGAAACATCGCTTCTCCAGTGGCATTGGCAGTAAAAATTGTTTATCCTGGAAAAAACTCGTTTTTCCCGGAAACACCTCCAAATGGGAGCTGATTCGTGAAGAAGAATGGCTTGCCATGGCATGGCTTATGTCGTTTTTGATCTCAGACTTGTTTGGCTCATGGACTATTTTATACCACCAGCATGGGCCGGTGTCACCCCCAAACCCTCCTGAACTTGAGTCTTCTTGTTGAACATGTCCTTTTGAGCAGTGCCCGCGTATGGACCACTTGTAAAGAATGAGGGGTACGGTAGCAAATCCATGTTGAGTCAGTTGGTTGGTGCCCATGCGAACACAAAGCCCAGATTGTGCCCTTCAGCGTGTGATTTGGGTATCAATGTCTTGAAAGTGACACTCTCAGAAAAAATAGGTCTCCAAACATCTTGTGTTTTGCGCAGGTTGTCGAACGGACTTTAATGACAAGAAGCCCTCCCAACCATGCAAATTTTCAGGTTCCCGTGGGGAACCCGTCTATAAGCGTGGGGAACCCGTCTATACCCGTGGGTCATACTGAAGAAACCGTTTTTTTCAAAAAAATACGTTTTTCCTAACCCGTGGGGAACCCGTAAAAAACTCGTCGTAACCCGTAGGGAACCCGTAAAAAAATATGGGTTCCGGAGTATGCCATCTGAAGGTGTCCATGAGGAGAATTGATCACTCCCATGTGATGCCGGCAACGTGCCAATTCGGATTGATCTTGAAGCACTTCAGTTTCTAGGGGTGAAAGAAAAAGAAACATGCTTTTTGTAGACTGCTTTCAGACCACAAACACACAGTTGTTCTTTCTTTCGGCACATGTGTTCATCTGAAACCTGGCATCGCTCCTTCAGAAATCAGAAAGGATCGCAGGACTCTGAAGTAGCTTTGCTTGGTGCCATGTCTAAGATGTCCATAATGACAAGTTCCCATGTTTGGAGGAAGGTGGGCACATCAAGATATGAATAGCAAAGTTGAGAGGAATAAAAAGGGGATGATGTGTGCGTTTGCCTGGCCATGTACTTCAGACAGCATGCCCTCAAAATGCACAAAATCAAGAAAACCGTTTTTCCTCAAGAAACATCGTTTATTTTTTAGAACTGTCATTTTTTAAGGTTCTGGGGTCTTATGGTACTATACACACACACACCTATATGTTGACTCTTAAGACATGTTAAACTCCACCCCGCAACGTTTGGGCAAATATTTCTTCCAGTCCTATGGATTGTTCGTCTACCACGCACCTTGCACCGCTGAGCGATTCGATGTCAGGCTTTGGGGCATCCGTTTGGAGTCTAAATACGAGAGCGCCTTGATCAGATGCTTGGCATTACCATCCGGTCAGAAGACCGGGACATCCGGTCAGAACGAAGGTGTCAGGGATTTTCCCCAAGTGTAGGTCTTATTTGATCCACAGCCACCCTCCTATCGGTATATGATGTGTTCGACACGTGGATTCCGCTTGGCGGGTTCAGTCGTACCTTTGTGGATTCCGTGTTTTAGAGACGCAAACAATGAGCAGCCTGGATTTAGTTTACCTACTGGCACCTGGAAACCCAGTCCCAACCGAAAAGAAATGGATGTTTCCCCAGTCCCAGCCATTTCCTACGTAAAAGGTTTCATTTGCCGAGCCATTTGCTTGCAGTTAAGATGAATTCCACCAAGAACATACAAAATCCTGTGGATCCACAGCCAAAGTGCCAAAGGTGAGTGGAGACTCTTTGATGTAGGCGGTCGTTGTCCCCTTTGAGAAGGTAGGATCCCCAGTTGATCTCTAGGGCAAGGAGCATTGGGTTTCGGTGGAAATTTGAGACAAGGGCCACCAGCTTTAGCAGTGAAATTGCCCAGTCTTTTCACATTGGGGGAACAATCCTAGCTTACCATCTATCTACCATACATTCGATGGATGCACTCGGAGGCCCAATCAGGGTGTCAAAATCAATCAAGCAAGTTAATAGACTCCCAAATTTGATGTCCTACAGGTCTGTTCTGAACCAAGACAGTTTCGATAAGTCCAAGTCCTGTGGGCTTCAGTGGTTGAGCTCCTTCTTGAGATCGAATTCGGACAATGATGGGCGTCAATTCCAGGGTCGGATTGGAAGTTGAAGGTGGACAGTGGACAGTCCTTAGTCCTTCGAACGGCTCGCCCCAAGTTCTGTTACCTCGACCTAGGAACCCAGGTACGGAAACAGGCACAGAGCCTTGGCAGGATCGCTTTCAACCGGGTCAAACCCAAACGGCCTCAACCGGGCGGATCGGCGGCGGATCGGAATTGCGAAGTCGAAGCATCGGTCTGGTCGGACGCATGGCAAGTTGAAGCTCGATGTCGATGTTGCGAGTGTCCGGATTAGGAGTTTTTTTTTTTTTTTTTTGCAAGCCAAACGAGAGCTGACCGGGAGAAGTGTTCGAGAAATGCTTAAGATGCACTCTTTCCCGAAGACATCACATGGTTTCGTGGATGGCATGGTCCCTTGGAAGACTACTTTCCTTTGCGAACAGGGGGTGCCATCTACGAAACCATGTGACGTGTTCGTCGGAGTGTAATCTTATTAAGGTGATATTTCAACCCCCACATTTGGATTGTAAAACCTCAGTATCATCAGGAGTCTATACATGAGGGCCTTTTGAGAGGTGACCCACAGCAGAGTCGGAGAGAAGGGGAGTAGCGAAGAGTGCTCTCATGCAGCGAGAGACACCAGGGCGCCAGAGACACCAGGGCACCAGCGTGCCAGCGAATGAGTCTTTATATATATATATATATCGTATATATATATATATACACCCTGAGAGTCAAAGAGTATGAAAAGAATGGTCTTTAGGTGACCCTTAGATCAGTCGGTCAAAATATAGTCTTTGGACTTCTAGGGTATACTTATGTATGAAATATATTGATTATATGAATGTTTGAATAGTTTGTTAAAGGCTTCCTATGACATGGTACTCTGGCTACTCTGACTTGAAGTCACCATGATGGTGCAACACCCTTTGAGGGTTTTGGTTGCTTTTCATAGTCATTTGTATGCGCCACCATGGATCAGTTGGGTTGGATGCTACTGAAACACAGTCGGACAACGGCTGCATCGCCCTCAACGGCGCGCATTCCTCGCAGATTGTTCCATACATAGCGCTGCATCTCTAAGGCGGACTGAACAGAACCGAAAGCTCCACACCGTTGTCCGCGCGCAGACCGAAGTGCTACTGGCCTCCTACCGCAGGAACAAGACCGTGATTGAGACTTAGCGTGATTTGGAGCGTGACATTACGTAGATGAAGAGCCTATATAGACGAAGACCAGGACCAGTTGTTAGTACTTTTTTGTTCTTTGAAGCTTTGGACTCTAGACCAGTCGTCTTTCAATGAGTCATGATTGTTTCTATATAGGACCTCTAAGACTGTAGACCGACCTTTTTTTTATGTGGTTTCTTTAGGCCTTCAGATCTTGTTCTATCAGGATCATCCTGTCTGGGTGTCCAGACTACCCTACGTAAATGGGTCTCCAGAGGCGGCACGTACTAGGAATGATCCCGTTTCGGCTCCTGTCCGAGCCTCCTCAGGCACCGGGTCAGGAGCCCAAACGGTATGTTTGTGGTGTGGTGTGGTCTGTTTCTAATTGGGTATACCCATACACGACACATGGGACTGCCAGTCCGGACTGCCGATCAGGCCAGGGATGGTGCCAGGGGGGTCAATGTAGATATATATGGAATACATGGAGCGTCTGGGTTATATGATGAAACACGGCCCGGTTCCACTGGTCGTTGGAGCACACTGGAATACATGGAGCGTCCGGCAGCTGGTTCTTCGATGGCACACTCCACAGTAAACGCCCCAAACCATGGCTATTCTCACGTGTGTACATTGCAGGTTTCCATACAGTCTGTGGATCGCAAAGAAAAGACGCCCGCACCATGACCTGACCGGTCGGCCTTGTGAGAGAGGATTGACTGGTGGGGCCTTGTTCCCCGAACAGTCGACCATCCGAGACATCTCGGATGTCCTGCAAGGCCCCACCCCCAGTGATGGGGATCATGCTGCATGTGTGTGATGTACTCACCTCCGAGCCATCCTAAAAGGAAACACCTGGACCGGTGAACCTTGGGGCTTCCGGGGTCTTCACAGTATCTTCAGAGGATCTGGAACCTCTTTAATGGTAGCAGAAGTGTCCCAGTATGACTGGAAGATCCTTGGGGTGGAACGATGTTGGGGATCATCAGCCTCCAAAATACTGAGCATCATGATGCAGCATGCATGATTTGCTCCTAGTTTTGCTCCTTCTTGCCTTTTCCTCAAGATCCTCAATAAAGCGGTTTGTTTGGCGCCCATCCAGATTTCCTTGGCCCATCCTGTGGCGGAGTTGTTCCACCCATATCAACACATTTCAGCTGTCGAAACTTTCGAGAAGCCTTAGACCACACCGCCATGGAGTGTCCTTGGTGAGAAATTCCCAACACCTACGCCCAACCAAACACTTTCTAGGGGATTCAAAAGTGAAAGTGAGAGCATGGGGGAAAGGTGGGATGGATCCACCGGATCGACGCCTTTTCTTGTCCATGACCTCGGTCTTGATAACTTCATCGACTCGTAGCCCTTTTGACATGTACACGATCCGTAAACCCAAGGGGCGACCTGTCCGTCCGAAAGGCTTCCCGGTACTGTCAGGGGTGGGTGACATGGGTCGGAACTCACCACATGGTTGTCCAACTAGCTGATCCATGAGGATGTGGTGGTGATGGTGGTGATGGTGGTGGAGCCCCCCAAACATGAGGTCACCTGATGTCACTCTGACCTGACCATTGAGGGGGACTTCGGATTCTCCTGGTGACACGGACTTCGGACTCTCCAAACGGGTTCGTTGGGCCAAACTGTCCGAGAATTCGGTCCCCATGGAGTCGTCATCTCCCGAGTCGAAACAGGAAGCGCAGGGTGAAGCTGATCGCTTCCTCATCGAAGAGGACCAGGGACTCCCATGGGCGAAAGGATGGTGTTGAACGGTGATAGGAAGGTGGGTAGGAGACTAGTAGGAGACCCACTTGTGGTATTTGTGGAAAGTAGGAGACGCTTCCTATCACCCAAACATGTTGGCGTGTTTTTTTTGTTGGGGGGGGACGTCGTGCATCTGATTGTCTGGGTGGAGTAAAAGGAGTCAAGATGTGGGAAGACTTTGTGGTTTGCCTTCCGGTGTGCATTAGATTGTTTGCCTGGTGGAGTACAATATGAGTCATTTGGACTGTGGTTTCTTCCGACCGCCAGCAGTGAACCCTTCATTTTCACAGATGTTCCACAGAGTTTGCATTAACACCTGAATTGGGTGAGACTGCCAAATCCATTGCTCCTCCCTCAATGCCCATTGCGACCTCTGATGTTCAGGGTAGGCCGTCTACGAGCCGCGATTCATGGCACAGATGTTAGCACCACTTATTCTTCGCGGCTTGCGAAGAATGGCACATCTTCAGATCCTCTGCTTCAGGAAGCGAAAGCCAGAGCAGAGCAGAGGTGGATGAATGCGTCACTTGGCCTGAAAGAGGTCCGTTAGGCGCCCGAGGTACCGGTCCGTCGTGGTCAGCGGTGGTCAACAACGAAGGAAATGAGGTTTGCTGGAGTCACCACTCAAGCTGATCAGGAGAAACTCCTTTGAATACTATTGAATACTATAAGTAAGCATAGTTAGGGTGTGTCCCTCTACCGTTAACAGTTGATAAACAGATTTTATACATTTATATGTTTGAGAAATGTCTTTAGTGACCATCATCCACTGTTACAGGGAATGGGATACACCTACATTTTGGTTTTGCTCCATGACGCAGTACGTAGATGACAGACGTTTTGCTCCATGCGTAGAAGATCAGCCTCACAGGGTAAACATGTTCTTTCCTAGAGGGTGTTCCTGCACAGAACGTTACGGCGGAGCTCGAAGTCAACTGCTAGAGGGTGAGGCAGGCGAGGGTGAGGCAGGCCTCATGGTCGACTTCCCAAGGTTAGATGGCCATTCATGAAGTGCCGCGATGATTGATTATGTTTTATGTTTATTTTTCAAATTGTGCTCCAGAAGCCGCAGACAAAGCCTCTACCTATAAGGAGGATGGTCATTTATTCAATCTCTATGAAGTGGCAGTGGGAGCGATTTTTGGTATAGAAACAGACCTAAGAGTTCACACATGTGCGGCATAGCCTTCGTTGCAAGGTCTTTTGCTGAAGTTACGTCTGGGCTTGTTCTTCGTCTGGACGCCGCCCTCGCCGGACAGACTTTGCCAGCCATCTCGAGTTGGTGCACATGCATATATTAACTATAGTCTATCCCCAAAGAGAGAGAGAGAGAGAGCTAGAGAGAAAGCAGCAGGATATGCGCAGGAGGTTGGTAAAATATGCTTCAAATTGATATGCTGCCTCGCTATCCTCGCTTCAGAAGCGCATGAGTGGTATATATATATATATAATATATATTGTAGCCGGCAAAAGAACCGCCTAAACACCATGTGGGTGGACTTTGAGGGATTTGGGTCTTCTCCGCGGTTGAACTCAAATGACTCCTCAGTTCGAAGGTCCTGGACCGGTGGAACCGGTCGGACCCGAAAACCGGAGGGGGGGTGGAAGGGGTCGAACAGAATCCCTGGTTTGGAGCGTTTGGGGTCGAACGCGATTGGTCTACCTTTTTCCCGGTTTGGGTGAATCCTCGAAGCCGTTGGTTCGAGGGTTTTCCCGGCTCGACAGACGTCGAGTGGCCCGAGTCTGCCCAAGGCAATCGGAAGCTCTTGAGATCGTCCGACGGTCCGTGAAGCCACTCGGACGTGGACTGGACCCGACGTGCCTCGGACGTGGGGGACCTGCCACTTTTGAAAGAAGGACGAAGGATGGTAGCAAAATGGCCTTTGGAACCATTCATCGTGTGAGCATCTTCCTCTACTCCATCGCTTGGGCCACTCCAAAATTTGAAGGACCTATAGTGATTTTGGTTTGAGTGGGATTTGGAGCACAAAACTTGCGGTGATGCACAGGTCCTTTTCATCCAGCTGCGTTCAAGATCTATAACTTGTTGATGGCTGGTCACGGAAGAATGCGTAGACTAGCGTAGAGATGAGACCTAAACAGCCAAAAAGACTACTGGAAGCTAGACCAGGAGCATCTACATCAGAGGACATCATTGGATCAATTGAAGGTATCCTGCCAAAGTATGCCAAAGTGTGGTTTAACCCCCTTGAAAGGAGGTTGAAAAAAGAGGTCGGTCTAGGGGAGAGCAGCCTGCAGACGCCTGCAGACCTGAGGAGTAACCTGTGTTACACCTGTCCACAGAGTATGTCTTTTGTTTTGGCATATTCTAGGCCAGTGTCACGTGACACGTGAGGCAAGTTCAAGTCTTGGAATCAACATGATGCGGAGACTGCAGACCATTTCTGTAGCAAGGCCCGATGTGTCACCCTACTTACTTCAGAACGCCCACCACTATTGGGGGCACGAGGTCCCCATCCCCCACCGGGGGACACCGTCCGCTCGAGGCTGCGGAACGAGACGGAGATGAACAGCGATCAGCCGCCCGGCGCTGGTCCTCCAACGGCTTCGCGTCGGGGGGCCGATCGTGAGAACGATCGTGACCACAGCACCGAATCGTCTCAATCAGAAGCTGTCGGTGGCTTTTTGGGGCTGGCAGGGCATCCTGGCATGTCTTAGCATCCGGAGATCCAGTTCGTCCGACGAATGGTCAGCCCACCGGCGCGGAGGGTGGCGACGGTGGGACGGTGCATCGCGCATGCTCACCCCATCAAAGACGGGTGCTTGTTTGTTGCACCCCTTGCGGGATGTTCACCTACAACTCCATTTACCATGGATTATGGATGGCGCCAATATAGTACTCTAGTCAGTCTTCTCCCTTGCGCAGGAAGGGCAGTCGATGTAACGTGGCATGAGTGTCACCTGAAGGAGGCTGGTTTAGTTTGAGATGAGTGTGTATTTCAATATGGAGGTTTCTCCAAGCAATGGGTGTTCTTCTACTTTTCCTTCTTTCAGCGGGTCGAATTGGGAGGTCTCGCGATGTTCATTGGCCATGTATTTCTGGTGTGGAATGCCCCGAGCCATGGCTCCTCCGTCCAAAACGGACGACGCCACGCATGTCTGACGCGCCTGCCACGCATGTCTGACACAGATGACCGACGAAGTCGGACAGACCTGGTCCTCTAGGAGCGAGTTTAGGGCATGGGATGGCCCTGGCCTCCAACCTAAGAGTGATGGCCCTCCCACCTAAGAGGGATGGCCTCCAACCTAAGAGTCATGACCTCC